CTGAAGCTCGGCGATGTCGTTAGGTTCCTTGCTTTTTAGATATCCCCACAAAAAACCTAAGGGAGTAAGATCGGGTGATCCTGCTGGCCACTCATGTGGACCTCTTCTTCCAATCCGTCTATTCGGAAATACTTTGTTGAGGTGGATCTGTACATTTTGAATAAAATATGGTAGTGCCCCGTCTTGTTGAAACCATATCCGTTGGTCAAATAAATTGGGGTCCAAATTATTGGGAAATAAAACCGCTAAAGCAGGAACCAGATCATCTTAGAGCATAGTTGGGTATGTTTTTCCGGTTACATTTTCATTGAAAAATACAGGACCTACTATGCGAACCCCCGATAATACCAACCCAGACGTTTGTTTTTTGAGGCCTTTGAGTATAGCATTTATGCATCCAGTGGACATTTTCGTCAGCCCAATAACAACAGTTGTGCTGATTGACGTGCCCATGGATTGTGAACGTAGCTTCATCAGAAAACAACACCCTTTCCAGAGCAATTTGTCCCCATCGATAGAAGCCATAATTGGTTCGTAAAAATCGAGGATCAGGATCATCTTCGTTAAGCTCGTGCAGGTTTTGTATCTTATATGGGTGCTTGTGGGCTTCTTTCAGAATTTTTAAAACCCTTGTATGACTCTGAAAGCGAGCTATTTACGTAGTTGGAGTAACAGGATTTTCTTCAACTTCCAACATGTTCTACCGGGTTTCTTCCTCGATTTTTAAAGGCCTTCGTCGAGGAGCATCCCTCACATGGTCCAACTCCCGACATCGAGTTTCGATTTTTCTAATCGTACTTCGATTAATTGGAGGCATTTCTGGATGACCTTCAGCAAACAAACGAGCAACTTCTGTCCTCATATTCTGTGTTCGACTTCTGTCCGCATATTCGAACATCATTAAAACTTCGATACGATGTGTCTCGGTTAAATAGGGTACTTTCTTGTTTTTGGCTTTAATTTACGTTGAACTGCAAACAAGTACTAACAAATCAATCACATTCAGTTCAAATTAGCCAAAAATCCATAGAGCAAGTTGTGGGTCAGCGTTGCCAGACGTCCCGATTTTGGCGGGACGTCCCGCTTTTTAAGCCAAAATTAAATGTCCCGCTTTTCCCGCTCTGGTTTTTTTTCTTTAGGCGTCAATTATTTTCTCCTTTTTTTTTTTAGACATCGATTTATTTTGAGGACAATTTGTTTCTCAGATATCCTGAGACCTTTTTTTTCTAGCCATCAATTATGCAAACCCGTAGTATGAAAGAATCCCGCTTTTTTGTTCAAAAAGTTTCTAAATCCCGCTTTGCCCGAAAAAAATCTGGCAACGCTGTGTGGGTACACATGCCGCAAGTGACCCATTTTTAAGCGTTACGTCAAGAGCGCCAGCAGGACGCCGCTGGACGCACCAGCGTTCCAGGAAGAGTCTACGGCGGACTGGCGCCGGCGACCAGATGCGTACTCATATACCTGCGACCGACTCCACACAAAGGGACTCTCCAACGAACACTCACCTCGTCAACACGTCTTTTTCTATACAACTTAATTTCCAATAAAATACTTTATTATTACCGTGGTGAGAGCGTTTTATTCTTGCTGTACAGCGAAAGCAACCCTCGAAGTAAAGCAAGTAAGAAAGCAAATAAGATTTTTTGATTTTTTTTTAATTTTTTGACTAACTTTTTTTTTAGAAGAAGTAGGCAAAGAGAATTGCTGTACAAAAAAAAATAGATGAGATTCCCTTCAAAATGATGCTTTTTCAAACGTTTTTGGACTAATATTGACTGAGATAACTGGTCAAACTTAAATACTTTTTAGATTTTCGTCGTTTTTAACATAATAATGATTATAATTCTTATTATTTTTACAACAAATTGGTTCTTTACTTAATAATTCAAAAGTTTTATTTGTTAATAAATAAAGATTTTCACAACTTAGTCAAAAAAGTAAAAAAAAATAAAAAAATCTTATTTTTGCTATTTTTTAAATTGTTTATTAACGATTTTTTTGCATAAAATTTTTCTTTTAAATTTTTTAAATAAGCCATTTCGATGGGAAATTCAATTATCTACAAAATTTTTCCTATGAACTATACCGAAATTTTGTTTCGTTTCGCGCTATATTTAAAAAACTGCTAAAGTTTATTTTCACCCCTATCTTCAATTTCAACCCTCTAATTTAATAGCGCGGTTTTTTCATTTTTAATTACCCTTCGAACAAGTCATGTGATGAAAATCCTTAAACGTCTTATTTCCTTCCTTTTTTTGCAAAAAAATGAAAATTAAAACATATAAGGGTAAACGTGATGAAAATCGAAAAATTGGCTAATTACTGTAAGTTTGAACGGTCAGTCAATTTTCATCCAAAAATACTTTACAACCTCTTATTTTGAAGGAAACTTTATCTACTTTTTTTTATGAAGCAATGCCTATACCTATCGTTACTCAAAATAAATTAGAGGCAAAAAAGTAAGAAAAAATAAAATCGAATTTTTGCTTTTTTAAAAATTCTTTATTAACGTTTTCTTGCATAAAATTTTCCTTTTACATTTTTTAAATAAGCCATTTCGATGGGAAATTCAATTCTCTACAAAATTTTTCCTATGAACTATAGCGAAATTTTGCTTTGTTTTCGAGCTACAATTAAAAAACTGAGAGGGGTGCATTTTCACCCCTATCTCCTATTTCCACCCTCTAATTTAATAGCACTCCGCGGTTTTTTCATCTAAAATGACCATTTGAACGATTCATATAATAAAATATCTTGAACGTCTACTACTATAATCAATAGCCTATATTTCCTTTACAATTTAATGAAGTTCTGCATTGTTAAGTGGCTGTTACTGAGTGATTTTGGTGGTAGGAAAACAAATTACTCTATATGCGTGGAAAAACTGAAATTGCAAAATGACAGTGAAATTTTGATATGTTGCTTATTTTAATAACTGTCATTTTGGCGATAAGAAAACAATATGCAAAGAAAATCTAATATTGCCGTCATATATTACTCTTCCTTTTACAGTTTACGAATTGTTACGACCTTTCGAATTGTTTTAGGGCAAGAAAGAAAAGTAACCTTTTTCATAAGAAGATAGCAGCTGCTTGACATTACATACAATATTATTGTGCGTATTTGGATAGAGACCATTTCCGATCAAATCTTTCGTGATTCTCGAGTTTTTAATTTCTTGGTAGAATGATTAAAAGACCGAAAAACCATGACAATATTAGAATCTCGTCAGCAATAGACCGTAGACAAAAGCTAATTATTTTGGTTATTTTGTTCAACTAATTAGAGATCTGTAGTTATAAGAAAAGTTCTATACTTCTGGCAATATTGTATTCAAAGAGAAAAAAATGGTAGTTCATCAAAACATCGTCGTAGTTTAAAAAATATGCGTTTCACGTTTAGTCTTTGATAGTCCAGTCATTGAAGGAATTTGGCTACCAATTTTCTCGGATGGAATGGATTGACGTGAAATTTGAACTGTAGCTAGGGAATAACCCAAGAAACAAAAGTTATATAGTGCCGATGTGTACTTTTACCCTAGGGGTGGATGCCACACCTTCTGGAGGGTGGGATTTTTTTTATTAAAAATAACCTCACGATTCGATAGAGGGACGAATTCTAAGCAAAAAATGTTCTATAAGAATTTTTTGTACAGTCAACACTTTTTGAGTTATTTGCGCCTAAACATGTTCGTTTTTAGCCCAAGAAATGCGTGTTTTTGAGCCATTTTTCGCGAATATCTCAATAACTACAAGTTTTATCAAAAAAATTATCATAAGCAAAAATGAAGGTAATTAAATAGCAAAGAGATTGCTTTTTTTATTTTTGTAGATGGTATAGAACCCGAGTTATGACTTCTAGAAGTTGAAGTCAATTTCGAAGATAGCTATAATCGAAACGTTCAACGTCTTGTAGCGGAAAAATTAAAGGTTTTTCGAGGAAAACTTATATAACACCTATTAAAGTTCTTGAAAAGACCTTTAATTTGAGTGGTGGTAGAAGTCGTTAGCATGAAAACTAATGAAGTTACAATCAAAATAAAATGGTTGTCTTGATTTTTGAGAAAAAAAAATCGGTATTAAAATTAATGACTTGACGGAAAAAAATTAAACGTATTCCTTCTGCAATTTACTTTATTTATGTATTAACAGTAGATTCTGGTAATTTGAACGATTTCAGAAGCCTAAATTTAAAAAAAAATTCAGTTACTTTTGAATAAAATTTTTCAATTTTTTAAAACAGTTATAAAAGAAATGATAGAATAAAAAATTGTAGGTTTTTTCTTACTGAACAATTTGCTTTTTTTTAATTTTTGTTGGACAAAATTTGAGTCTAAAGAATAACAGAACAAATGCAATACATTGTGAATGCACCAGAAGAATATTTTAAACTGTTAAAAACTTTTTTCTATTTTTATTGCCATGGAAGGTTAGTTTTTAAGGATTTTTAAGGGTTGAAAAGTAATTAAATTTCAAAAATTATATTAAAAAACATGAAAGGAACTTTATCCAACATATTTGAACATGAATTGAATCTTTAAAATACGTAAATCTGTGATTTTCGCATTTTCTTCGCACAAGGGTAATTTTCACCCCTAAATAGAAAAAGCACACATTTATATAGACAATATAACTTTTGAAGTGGGGGGTCAGATGAGTTTATATGCAAATTTTCAGGAAAATCCGTGCTATCCGAAAAAATTGGGAGCTTTTACTTTATTTTCGCCTTCAGTGACTGGACTATGAAGGATTCTAGAGCCTTTAGATGTCGTTTTAGGGGAAAAAAAATTAGGCATTACTTAAATACAAGTGTCGGTATCGGTCGATATCTTGGTGCATCCCAAATTGTTACAGACGTGGAAAATTCCGTGCCGAAACGGCAACGAAAGCAACAAGAAACAAACCTCGTTAAGAGTTAGTGGTGTTCGAATGCAGCAAAAAAATATTACGTGCACCGTCGTCGTCTCCCCAAATTAATCTCTTATCTTCTTATTGCAGGGCCGGCGATACAGGAGGCGGCGTCTCCGCTACATACAAGCCGGGCGACCTGCGGAGGTGGCGGCCTGCGCCCCCGGTGCTCCCCGCACCCAACGCCGTGGGAGAGAAGGGCAAGGCCGTCCACATCCCCTCGGATCAGGAGGCCCTCATGAAGGAGAAGTTCAAGCTGAACCAGTTCAACCTTATGGCCAGCGACATGATCTCGTTGAACAGGTCGCTGACTGACGTCAGGCTGGAGGGGTGAGTTTTTAATGATAATAACAATAATAATATCGTCAACAAAACTTACATGTAACATACATGATTGATTGATTATAAAAAAGTCTTTGATATGGTATGGTCATCGATGTCTAAAGCCTGTAATGCAATTTTGTTGCAAGGATTTGGTCGCTGCCATAGAATCCACGACATTTTTCTTATCTGACTATGCAATTCTGTCGCGGCAATTGAATTGCGTGAATTAGAACATGCTCTATTCCGTGCAACAAAATTGCAGGGATTCTAGTTGCTTTTATGGAAATGTGTTTATTACCAATCTAGTTATTGTTGGCTGTTGGTCATGGCTGTTGTTTTGTTAGTAATACCGTTGAAGCCACTAATAGGTACAGTGCCGCCCCTTTGAAAGTGGACGACTCTTACAAGCAAATTGTCTATAATTGGCCTTTGTGAAGCTGACTTGAAAATGTGAGGTTCAAATCGGCTGTCATTATGTCAAATTTAATGTGTGTCTATCATACTAGTTCTAGTGAGCAAAACAAATCCAAATTAGGTAGCAAATTATTTATTTTTCCAATACTAAATATATTATACATTCTAACGGCCATTCATTCGCCGTCAACGAGATCTAAAAATGAAACACTTTTCGTCGTCAAAAAAACGCGATTCGTAAAGTTAGTATTTTGTCCAGCACAATTTTTGTCTATAACACTGCAATCTACATGGCATTCATAAAATTAATGTTCTTGTTATTATCCTCAGTGATGTTATCCCATGCGTTTTCAATTGCCTCCCAAAGTTCTTCGACGTTAACTGGACGGAAGTTTCTGCCGTAAATTTTTTTCACCATATATCCCCAGGACTTTGAGGGCCAAGGTAAAACATCGATGTTGTTATCAATGAACCATTCTGACGACAATTAATTATCCTGCTTGAAAGTGAAATTCTGAGGATACAGCATAATCACAACAAACATCAGGACTTTGGCAGCTTATCCAAGCTCAAACGTTAATGGAGAATCCATCGCTGCGCTGTGTGGGTTTCATATAAGGCTCCGAATACCTTATAATATCTGGTGGGTAGACATGGACAGAAGCATCGGAGCAAGACTGAAAACTTTTTTCGTTCGAAAATATAATATTCTCCCAGAAGTTGTCTGGGCTTCCTACAAATTGTCTTGCAAACTCTAACTTTATACTGGGGTGTCAAAGCAACTGTATTTGCGGCCACATAATTCTTCAGCACCGAATCTTTCACCCGCTTCCTTGCAGTTCGCACTGATCCAGGAAAATTCGTCTCAAAGGAAGCCGCTACTGCCATGTCAAAAGGATTTATTCTTAGGTGGTGCTTACTTTTCGACGTCCAACTCCGTGAACATAACGTACGTGACCCTTCGTAATCCATTTTTCTTTGAGTTTAAATATACTGTTCTTGCATACATGCAGATCATCCGCAATGACCAATCATTCTGAAGTAAAGTTATAGCTCTCACTTTCTCTGGTTCCGTTAAACGCGGTATCTTGAATTACCAAGCAAATTACTAATGACACTGACATATAAAAACTTGTCATAATAAAAAGTAGACGACATCACATTAGAAAAATAAATCCTCCACTTTCAGTGTACAATAATTTACTTTTAAATTTTCATCCATTGCAATGTTTTGTTTGAATAAAAAATAATTGTTCACAAGATACTTACAAGAAATTTTACATGTTAAACAATGCACTGTTGATAACACTACTGCAAATTAAACAAATTGCAGCATTTCTGTACCATTTTGTGATATAAGCATACAATTTTTTCGCTGCAACAAAATCGCCGCAACTAAATTGCATATGCTGATGTAGGCTTAAGACGTGTTTTGTGCTGCTATTCAAAACTTTCTATCTAAATGGGAAAATAGAATACTAAAATACAACTAAAGACTAGAATCTACAAGATCGGTGATATGTATGGAAACCATAGACCTTATAAACTACTGGATTACCCAACTATCATTTTGCCTATATAAACGGCAATCGAACAGACGTGTGCGAGAGAGATAGAGCTAGTGCGGGCATTCGTTCACAGAACTTCGAGTGTAGCACACTACATTTAATTCAACCAATCAGCTAGTTATATTCGATTCCTTACCCCTTTTTTCTGTTGGGCCGTATTTCCGTTTGAAGTTTTAACTACATTTATGTGTGGCGTGGTTACATTAAAAATATGGTTAAGTTAAAAATTTTGAAAAATTATTGATAAGGTTTTTAATTACTTATAGAAGTCAAATTTCCGTTTATATAGGGTCCAATGACATGTCCACTAATAATACCACACCAAACATTTACTTTCTGTGGTCATTGGGTGTGAACTTCCTTCATCTAATGTGGATTTTGATCTGACCAATACCTACAATTGTGTCGGTTTACATGCCGGTATAAGATAGTGATTTTCTAAGTTCGATATCTCGTAAACGGTTAATTTCGGTACACGATGTGCTATATGAATTTTGTTTAGAATTTCGCGACTAATTGAAATATGGGATCCTACGTATATTTTCTTTATTGTAATAGATTTTAAAAAGCCCGATCGATCTGTTACTTTAGAAGATAATCGACCGCTTCCATACATATCAGCGACCGCGACTCTGTATTTTATTAATTTTAGGCGGAGAATATTTTAAGATGTCGCTTTAAGTGCTCTTTAGTTCCGTATATGTCTTAAACCTTTGTCAAATCAGCGTATAATCTAAGGGTTAGTTCTAACCGTAAAGGCAGTTCTTAAAAAAAAAGTTAGTTCTAAAAGTTAAAAAGGGCAGTTGCAAAATTTGATTATTAGAAGTAGACCTCTTTTCTTATTTGTTTGTATAAAAAAATGCGTGTCTGTTATTTGCACAAATTGAATTTTTCGGGCGCTTTCTTTGAGCTAGCATAGGGTCATTGATTTTGGGTAGTTCTTAAAATTCCTTATTGTTAGATTATCCCATGTGTCAAATTCTCTTAATATATTGCTCAATATTGATATTGAATTATTACCTAAACAATGCAGATAAATATATTACTTATAGTTTAGCGGGAGGATTGAGGCCTTTAAAAACCTCTCAGAGGGGAAGTGTTGCGACGCGATTTTTGAGTGAAACAATTTGGTTTAATTTTCTAATAGTTTTCCTTCATCCCTGGAAGCTTTTTCAAGTTTCCCAAAATTTAGCTGTAGGTATAGTCTTTATAGCAAGAGCTTTAACGAACTCTCAGAATAAAACAATTTCCCGAGATTTTTTTTTTAAATATTCTGTTAGTCTTCCTCAAATTGCACTTTGTGAAAGCCAAAGTCGCTTAAAATTTAGCTGGAATATCTTAGCAAGGATTTTAAAGATAAAAGCGAAAAAGTGGACCGTTTCATACACTAATGGAAAAAATTAAGGAATCAAAAAAAATCTAAATTTTCGGCGATTTTTCAAATGGCTGTATCTTTGATAAAAATGGTCGTATTGGAGTAAAAAAAAGCAATTTGAAGCTTGAAGTTTCTAATTTTTGGATCTTGCAAAAAAAAATTATTTTTGGATTAGATAGGTTGTTCATTTAGCTTCAATTTCTTTTTTCTTTTTGGTCTCGATACGACCATTTCTCGCTGAGCTATCGGACTTTGAATGAAAATGGATCATTTTCTCTTTGTTCATCGATATCTCAGAAACCAATGGTTGCACAGAAAATCGACGGTGGGTCTCAGAAAGTTGAATGAATTCTCTACAAGGTCCTGGCACTGTTTTTAGATTTTTTTTTATCCTTAACATGATTGAAAAATCGTCAAAATTAGGACTTTTAGGGGTCTTCTAGAAAATCACGTGCCACATTGAGAATATTGGGAAAATGACTAATGTTAAGTGTGCCTTTTACAGGTCATTGTACCCCTAAATGCCCTATAGAGTTTCAATTCGATCCGTCAAGCCGTTTTTTGTTTCATTCGATTGAATTTTTAAAAAAATTAAAGGATCACTTTTTTTTGCCTTTAAATGCTCATAATCTGTAAAGAAATGAAAAAAACATTTTTTTCCTGATTTTTTTTTTACATTCTTATTGCAGAAAGCGTTTGAAATTATGAAAAAAAAAAAAAATAAAAATTTTTTTGCAAGATCCAAAAATTAGAAACTTCTAGCTTCAAATTTTTTACTTTTTTTTTACTCCAATACGACCATTTTTATCAAAGATACAGCGATTTGAAAAATCGCCAAAAATTTAGATTTTTTTTTGATCCCTTAATTTTTTCCATTAGTGTATTTGGGAACTTTTTTCAGAAATTCTCTAATAATTTCCTCAATTTTTATCACTAAGAGCTTTCTAAGTTATTCAAAATTTAGCTGGAAGTCTTAGCAAGGACTTTATGAAACTGGTAAAAATTCTGGAAATACATTTTTTTAATTTCCTAATAGTTTTTTTCAATCTTCATTTCTTGAAACCGTTTCAAATTGCTTAAAATTTTGCTAGGAAGTCTTAACAAGAACAAACCTTCAAATCGAACCTCTAGTTCGTACCTCTGGTAGCCATTTTAAGTTGTCCAATATTTAGCTGTTGAATGTCTTAGCAATCCCCCTAAAAGAAAAAAATACTCTGGTTCGCACCTCTGGGGATACGAAATTTCTTCAAACTGTGCTCAAAATTTGGCTGGATTGTGGTATGAATTTTTCAAAATCCTCTAATAGTTGTTTTCAGTTCTCATTCCCTGTGAGCCATTTTGACAGCTGCTTATGTTGCAAGGAATAATTTCTCCCATCGCCGTCGGCGTCGCGTCGCTATGAAAAAAATAGCTCAACATTTTTTTTTCCTAAACGATTCTTAAGGACTCGACGCTCTCCATTTTTTTTACCATAAAAAATATTTTAGCGGCAAGATAAACCCTTTTACTTCATTTCGCGCATATTTAAGACCTTAATAATCATAAATAACGATACGATATCTTCTTAATAGGTTCTTGATTGCCGTCAGTCGCAAGGGAAATTTTTCTTGTCCCATTTAGAGGTCGTAGATAGAGTCCTAAAGAACTCG